TGATGCTCATTGCCATAGCGGCTCTGGAGTCTCTTTCGCCTCTTCCCCAAGTCTGCTCCCGCTGGGGAGTTCATACCCTATCTGACCCTCCCCTCCCGGGATGCAGGGCTGGTCTCTCTCTCTCTTCCTCGGCATCCTCCAGGTTTAATAACATGATTAGTCAATAGTATGAAGATGCTCACTATCTCTGAAAAATAGGCCATTTATATTTAGGTGTCTAAATATGGATTCAAGAGCCATCCAGGTTGGAAAGTTTGGATGCAGTCCATGCTTAGTAGAGAAATCTTAATTCTAGGCATGACAAATGAGATTCATATACAGAGAAGTAGGAGGGGGAATGAGAGAGAAATGATGGAGTGACAGTAAAATCACCTGCTGGACCAGGTGCACATCTTGATGTTTCTATTCCTTTATTGCAGGGGTGGGCAATAATTTCTGAAGGGGCCACTTCACAAATTATGGAAGTGGCTGTGAGCTGACCCGGAAGGGACAGGGCATCAGGCAGAAGGGACAGGGCCTTGGGCAGAAAGAATGGGGTGGAGAGCTACCCTATTGGAGCTTTGCTTGGCCTGGGGTCCCTCCCCCCGACTTCTGGCCAGTGGAAGGGACCTGGAGCAGAGGGGAGGGTGCTGGGGGCTAGCCTCCTCCCAGAGTTGTGTGGGGTGGAGGCTTAGAATTTACATAACATGGCTGGTAGCTCCTGGCCCCACTGCTAACCTGTTGCCTGGCAGCTGCCCAGCAGGCACAAGCCCTTTGAACCGAAGCAGTTGAAAGTGTTTGCACCTCCTGGACAGCTCCTGGATCTGGCCCACTGAGTGGCTTTTGCCCACCCCTGCTTTACTGTGTTCTTTTCTCCCAGCCATTTTTAACAGGCAAGACCGACAAGGGTGAGTTTTAGGAAGGATTTGAATGAGGCAAGAGAGGTGGGATGATGTGCAGGTTTGAAGAGAGCATTCTAATTTAGAGCTTAGAACAATGGTTAGGGTGATGGAGAAGTACTATCCTGCTGTAGCCTTTGCATATCTATTTTGTGAATAGAAGAGAAATGTCTGTCCAGAATGTTTCATGAGCAGCAAAGTCACTTCAATATATTAAACACCAATTGCCCTGAGGAAAGTGCTGCACCCACATTAAAACTGAGTTTCTAATACTGTTGTTAGTAATTGCACTGAATACTATTCTACCAGGCAAAAATAATGGGATTTGGATCACTGCACAGTTCAATCTGCATCTTTGGGAGAAAAAAGTGAATATGCTTCCCAAGAAGCAAACATTGGGATTTGAGGATTACCTCTCCATAACAGAAAGGATGGGAAAGCTGTTGTCTCAGCCCTGATGTACAATCCCTGCAAAATTGTCTTAAAAATGTTTTTCACATATTACATGTGATTGGCTTTGTTTAAACAACGGAGAGCAATTATAGAGTTATGTGCTGTTACCCAATATGAGGCCACAATTTGGTCTTCCATTGTTTATTACAACTTATTTTCAAGCCACACGATAGTTTAATCTTTATAGCTCTATGATTCTTCTTATCTTAAAGAATCGGAAAAAAACTGGGAAAACCCCTGACTTGCCATGTATTTAAAAGAAGCTAATTACTTGAGAAGTTTGGACTATTATCACTTAGGCCAGGAAATGTTTCCTCTCCAGCCAAATGTTTCTTCTTCTCAGAAGGCAGTGGATGTACAGCAATGGGTAAAATGTGAATGGGGTCTACACGTGCCCCACAGTTTACCAGGTCTCCACTGCTATACTGGCTCCCTGCCTGTGCAGTTGGAAATGTACACAAGCCAGCTGATTCAGGGGATGCGCAAAGACTAATCTAGAGCTGCATTGGGCCCTTGAAAGAGGAATATCAAGTATACTATTTGAGTGAAGAGATCTATTTTTAATCAGCATCAATCCAGAAAATTTGCTTCATTAGTCCTTCTGCAATTTTTCAAATTTCTAATGTTTACAGCATCTACAACTAACATTCTGATTTTATTTCAAAATATGGCATACAGAATGACTTCATTCATAATCCAGTAATTAGTGTCTTCTGGCCTTGTTCTTTAATAGCTCAGCTCTATTGCTAAGCTATATTTATTTTGATATGTTTATCCTTTCCTCTTTGTGTGTGTGTGTGTGTGGGGGGGGGGTCATGTCCACAAGCGTTGAAGATATTCAATATTGGCCTTATGTCATCTACACCATGATAAACCAGGAGTTTCTCTGCTGAAATCAGTGGTGTTACACTCCTGTACAGTGTCAGCAAGCTCACCAACCAAGCCTTTCAAATATTTACTCTGCCTCTTTCTAAAATATGGAAAGTAGCAATAATAGAGAATCACATTTTTCTTATTTTTTACGATCTAGATTACATGGAAGGCAGAGTTGTCCACTGTTATTTAAATTTTCTGTTAGAGTGTAGAATAATGTAATGCATCCCTTCAGATGAAAAATAAGGGTTCCATTCTGCTGAGGATAGTGGTTGCTTTGTAACTGATTTTAAATGAGAGCAGGAACAGGCCTTAAGTTATTAAATAACATGTACTCTGTTGCTAGGTTACTATCAGTCAATTTGCATTTGCCTAGCAGAGCAATTATGCTTAATTATAAAAAAGGACTATGGTGTGTATTTAGCTCAACATGCACATGTAACTACCATCAATGTAAATGGTCTTGACAGAAAGGAAAAAAAATTTTGCTTGCTAGGATGACTTCAGGAAGTATCAAGTGGGTCTGGCCCACGAAAGCTCATCATCTAATAAACCACCTTGTTAGTCTTTAAAGTGCTACATTGTCCTGCATTTTGCTTGTTGGACTAGTGAGCCTAAGAGGTAAAGGACATTGCTCAATTCAGTTGAGCAGGGATGGTTACTCGTGGGTTGGTTATGAACTCTGGTTAATGCCATGTGACCTCTCTCTCTCTCTTCTATTAAAAGTTTCTTTTCTACGCTCAGCCTCTGTGCTTGCGGGTGGGGAAGCATTGCCTCTCAGAGGCACCCAGAGGTGTGTGAATTTCCCAGGCTACTGGGTGGGGGCTCGAGCCAGTTGTGTGTGAGATGGATGAAAAGGGACCCTTAGGTATTGAACTCGGCCCTGGCTGCTGCTGGCGCTACCTGGCAGAAGGGTTACATAATGAAGGTGATTGTATAAGCCACTGTAATGCACCAGGAAACTACCAAGGTTCAGGTGGCTGCCCAGCAAGTGTTAGTTCAGCTACATCATGAAACTAACCAGCTGCTGATGAGCCAGGCTTCCCAAGACTGAGCCACCCTGCAGGAGGTGATAATGCAGCTGAAGGCTCTGGCCATCCAGGGGCACACTAAGGGGCACAAGATGGAGCTCAATTGCTGCATGCCAGCAGTTATCTCCAGATGACAGGGGAGGACGATGCGGAGACGTACCTCCTGGCCTTTGAGAGGTCTACCCTGTGGGAAGGCTGGCCCCGAGCCCAGTGGCCAAGCATCCTGGCTCCGTTCCTGTGCAGTGAGGCCCAGTAGGCCTATTCTGACATGCCCAAGGAGATGGCTACTCTCCCAACTGAAGGCATTTCTTAGCCAGGTCCAGAATAACAACCACCATCCAAGCCCAAAGATTCCATCAGTGGAGATACTAGGAGGGCAAAGCACTAAGGTCCCAATCATTCCACCTGATCCACCTCACCCAAAAATGATTGCGGCCTGAGACCCACAGCCCACAAAAGATCGTGGAAATTGTCATTCTGAAGCAGTATACGAGGGGCCATCACCCAAACTGTGAATATGGATCAGTTATGTTGAGATAGTGGCCCTTGTCGAGAGACAGTTAACAGGAAAAGATCTCTCATGACCTCTCAGGAAAGAAGTCCAGCAGGGTAAAAAGCTTGCCCTGGTTCCAAGGGCCTGCCTCCCTGAACCTTCAGACAGGGCTTGGCATCGGAGAAAAGAGATGGGAGAGCAGCTGGAGGCAAAGGGGGGACTTGGGGACCAGGAGAAGAAAGGTCAGGGGGTAAGGCCCAGAAGCCCAAGAAATAGGGGGATGCACTGCATAGGGTATTGATTCTGTGTATGTGGGGAGGTAGGGTATATAGCGGCACAATGCCTAAGTATGGAGTAACCCATGCAGTGCAACCTTGGAGACCTGAAGGGCCCATGCAGCCTGATAAATCTGCACACTGTGCACACTGGTTGCTCCCCCAGGTAACAATGATTTACACTGGGCTTGATAGTAAATAAAAGTGATTTTATGAAGTACAAGCAGTAAGATTTAAGTGGTAATATGTGAGAACAAGCAGTGCAAAGTAGATTACAAACTTAAAATAACAGAAAACGCTCTGCTAATCCTACACTAAAATCTCAGTACAAACTTATTACAAATTCACCCTAAAACTGTTCCTTTCCACCTAAACCTTCAAACCAGGGAAGCTCCTTACCCTGGGGTCTTTGGATCCTTTCTTGGGAGTGCCTCAGCCAAAGGTCTGCTAGTTTTCTATTGTTTTAAAGATTCCCACTTTTGCGTGAGAAGTTACTTGGCCAGTCCCTACAGTTAGAGAGGTCATGTGACTTCTTAAGACCAACCACTGCTAATACTTACAGACAAAAGGCTATTTGGATATGATTGCCCAGACATTGAGGCATTCCAGCATTTGGAAACACCCTTGATGGCTTTCCTTTGCACATTTAAAACCATAAACCTTTCCACATTCCATAGGTCTAATTTTACACACCAGAGTGATACATACATCAAAACAAGAACAACAGATCCAGCGGATTATGACATGAAGATTGATAGGTTACATGAGACAGTTTGTCCAAAGCATCTTTGAGTTAGGTATATTCATGTCCACAAGTCCATTTTCTATAGCATGGGGGCGGGGTGGTCCTTCACACTACCCTTAAATCATCAGCTATTGGTATTACTCAGATTGGAGATATTATCTGCATTTTAGGTGTGTGATTCTCTTGCATCACATTGCTTGTATTATACAAAATGATACTGAAGTAATATTTTCTCATTGCTGTGTTCCTTAGACTCTCACAAATACTAGATACAAATACTAGTCCAACAAGGTAAGGGTCCCATTCACTTACCCAAACTTTCTCTGTACCCTACTTCAAATGCCCCATTTACAGCTCTGTCCAGTCAGTGCGGACCCAGACACATCACCCTGATGACTCCATTCATTAAGCCTGAGGCCATGCCACCTTTTTGCTGCTCCTGTGGTCCACTTTCTCCACCAGCTGCTCTGCTGGCTGCCCGCCAGTCGCTCTCACCAGCCACTCTGCTGGCCGCAATGGGTCTGGCTCCAGGCCACACACGTGACTTCAGTTCTTATGGTATGTCTATACTAGTCCCCTAGTTTGAACTAGGGTGGCTAATGTAGGCATTCGAATTTGCAAATGAAGCCCAGGATTTAAATATCCCGGGCTTCATTTGTATGTTCCCGGGCGGGCGCCATTTTTAAATCCCTTTAGTTCAAACTGACTGCCCGTGGCTACACGCGGCAGTCAGAAGTTAATCCGAACTAAGGACTTAGTTCGGATTAACTGTTACACTTCATTGCAGCTGCGGGCAGTTGCACGAGGAGTAACGGTAGTTCGAATTAGAAAGCCTAATTCGAACTACCTACTCCGTGCCACGTGTAGCCGCGGGCACGGAGTCCGAACTACCGGGGCTTTAAAAATGGTGGTGCCCGGCAAGATGCAAATGAAGCCCAGGAAATTCAAATCCTGGGATTCATTTGCAACTTCGGTTGCCTACATTAACCACCCTAGTTCGAACTACGGTAGTAGTGTAGACATACCCTTAGAGATGGTGCTGTTTTCATTTAACATAACAATGTTTTGGGACACCATAAACAGTATCAGCAGTCTCCCCTCCCAGTTTCCCATAGAATTTGAGCAGGATGAAGGAGAGGATGGAGCCCCGAGAAGCAGAGGCGCTGGCTTTCTGAGTTTCTGTGGGGAATGTTCGACTAACTTCTCTGCCCCAGGCCCTACACTCACTTCACCCCTTCCGCCAAGCTCCCATCTTTGCCCCACCTCCTCCAGCCACCTCTTCCCCTCTCAGTTAAAATGTCCTGCATGAACAGCTGGCCCATGGTGGGTGGGAGATGCTGGGGCATGGGAGGAGCTAATCAATGGGGCTTCCAGTGCATGCTAGGCGCCCACTATTTTTTTTCTATGGGCTCCAGCCCTGGAGCACCCATGGGGTCAGTGCCTCTACTCGGAAGTGCCATAGCTGAAGGGTCAGGAAGCTTCCTTGGTCTGTATACACACACTTCAGTGAGGCGTTTGTGGCTGGCATGTGCCAGCTGACTCAGGCTTGCAGGGCTCAAGCTAAGGAGCTGTTTAATTGCAGTGGAGATGTTGCAGCTTGGGCTGCAGTGTGGGCTTTGGGATCCTGCCACTTCCCCAAGTCCTAGAGTCCAGGAGACCAAATCACCTGACACAGTGTAGACAGACTGCAGTGTAGACAGACTCTCTGAGTGCAGTGATGTGTTTAAGCATATCTGTAAGCAGTTTGGTAGTGCTGCCAGTACAGGGCCCCTACTTTGCATACATTCTTTCAAGGAAAGATCCCAAATTGTTAGAGGCTTTTGTTTTTTAGATTTTTTAAACCTAATTATTAACTGTGATAGTTTTCAAAACAGCATTTGTGGTATAAATGCATCACAAGTGATTCCAAATACAATTACTATTATGCTGAACAGTATTTACCTTTGCAGCATATTTAAATGAGTTGCACAGAATTCTGAGGTAAATTTCATAGGAAGTTTATTTTTTCAGTACAGTATTGTATAATCTTATCACAGAAATGATAGCATAGCATACAGTAGTGTAAATTCACATATATGAAATATTTGCAGTGAGAAAAATGAGACATTCAATGGAATTTTTCTATTTTTCTGTTGTAGAATAGATCAGCATCCATTTCTTTCCCCAAAGGAAACTACTGAACAATTGCAGAATTTAAATGAGGTAAGTGTAACCAAAATTGTAACTGCAGTGTTGTTAATCAGACAATATTTAACATTTAACATAAACCTGCAGCTCGTAGAATCATATGACTACATAAGAATCTTGGCTTACTTTTTTAAAATGAAAGTTTTTAGCTTTCATGTTTGCAGAGAAACATTTCAAAATATCACCCAATGCTCAAAAACTAAAAGGCAAATAAAAAGGGACATTTTTTCTTAACAATGATACTTCTTCAAGTGATTGCAGATGTGCATTCCAATAGATGTGTGTATGCTGTATGCATGAGCTTCGGAAGGTTCTTTTCCTAGGAGTACCCATTGGGTTGGCTGTGGAGCCCTGTGGAGTGGCACCTTCCTGGTGGAGTCTATGGTGCTCTGCTGACAATCCATCCCAGTGATTGTCATTGGGGCGCTTGTTCTCTTGCTCAGCAAAAGATAGAGGTCATCGGGGCTCTCTTGGACTCTACGCATATGAGAGCTTTCCTCCCCAGTTTTCATTTTTGTGTGATCATGGACCTCTGCCGCAATTTCCAAAGGTTCCCAACCATCACAGCAAGAAGGTGCATGGGGCTTGTGGGGCACATGGTGGCCTGCACATTTGTTGTGCAGCATGCCAGGTTGTGGCTCCACCCCTTGCAGAGCTGGTTTTCCAGAACCTACAAGCCCAGCAGGGACCCATTGGACTGTCTGGTCACCTTCCCCGCTTCTCCACTCCCATAATTGGTGGCTGTGTGGGAGTGCCATCTACCAACTCCCAACGCTCCCTATCTCTGGTCATAAGTGCATAGAGACAGGCTGGGGAACACTCCTGAGCAACTCCAGTAGTCAGGGGCTATGGTCTTGGGAACTCTCCCTGCACATCAGTGTTAGAGAGTCAGGGCAGTTCACCTCACCTGCCAGACCTTCCTTCTCTGGCTACAGGGCAAGTGTGTCTCTGCACCAACAGACAACGCAACATCAATGAACTATATACAGGGAGAGGGTGGTGCTCTCTCCTCTCCCTTTGTCTTAAAGCCCTCCACTGGTGGCACTTTTGCATAGAGCACCAGGTCCACCAGCAACCCTCCCACCTGCCAAGGGCCCAGAACACCTCAGTGGCTTCTTCAACACCCATGAGTGTCCCCCAGGACAGAGATCATCCTATCCATCTCCCAGAGGTGGGATCATCCCTAGATGGGCATATTTTCAAGAATGAACAACAGGAAGTGCCATAAGTCCTGCTCCTTTCGAAATCATCGTCATGATTCAGTAGTAGACATGTTCCACATTCCTTGGTCCAATCACCTGCATTGTGCATTTCCTCCCTTACCACTAGTACACAAAGTCCTCCTCAAGATTTGGCAGGACAAGGTGGTGATCATTCCCATCCCACTTGCATGGTCCTGGAAGCATCCCACTTCCAAGTCAATGAGAATATTTTCCTACTGATGTTCTTCTCAAAGCCCCATGCCAACTCTAAGGAGCAGGCTCTTCATTCTTTTGATGTCAGATGCACTTCTATATTGAATGCACAAAGTCATTTTGTAAATCACCAGAGCTCATTATTGCAGTGAATGAAAGAAAGAGGGGACTACCCATCTTGTCCCAGTGTCTCCCATTATGGATCACATCCTGCATCAGGTGCCGCCAAGACCTGGCCACGGTCCCAGGCCCAGCACTGACAGCTCACTCCATGAGAGCACAGGCTTCCTTGCTGATATTCCCCACACAAGTTCCCATTTGCAAGGCAGTGATATGATTCTCTATTCATACCTTCATGTCACATTACACCATCACCCAATGAGCAAGAGATGATGCAACATTCAGCAGAGAAATGAGCAATGAACTCCAACCCCTCCTCTAAGTATACTGCTCTGAACTCACCTATTGGACTGCACATGAGCAATCACTTGAAAAAGAAAAAATAGTTACCTACCATTTGTAACAGTTCTTGAAGATGTATTGCTCAATTCCATTCCAAATTCCACTCACCTCCCCTATGTTGGAGTAGCCAGCAAGAAGAACCTGAGGGGTGGACGGTTAGCAGAGACCTATACACCATACCATGGAGGCACCATTCAAGTGGTCTCCATAGCTGATCCAACAGGTACTCCCAGAGGAAAAATCTTGCAATGATCGTGGCCGTGGTGCACACATACCAAATGGATATGAGCAACACCTCAAAGAACAATAATTACAAAAGGTAGGGAACTATTATTTTCTAAGTGACTGCTGGCAATATTGAGAGAGATCTTAAGTTGGTACAGGAGTGTTTATTTTTTTCTTTTTGGTCCTCACAGCACAATGGAATACATTGGAACAGCACTTGCAGTTTGTTTATATAGTTAGGCTATATCAAAGCCTTTACATCCCAGAGAAATAGCTGAGGGAAGGGACAAAGTAGTTGGAAAACTCCACAAGGCAAAAAAAAATAATAATAATAAAAAAAAATTGGTGCTTGATACATTTAGCTGGTGACCATCAGTGCAAATGGTGAGAGAGAGAAAAGGAAGAAATGAAAACAAAGGAAATTGCACATATTTGTGACTATTGAAATAATAGTTGATTGTAACGTGGGTGTCAAAACATGACAAAAGAACACAATACAATGAAGCTCTGTGTGTGTGTGTGTGATGGATGGGAAGGGTGCTGCCCTTTTCTAAACATCCCAGCATTCAGTAACCAAAGTGTTAAACCCAGAGTAGCCAGGAAGTGTTGGCAGGGAACCAGGAGAAACAATGGGAGGAGAGTGTTGAGATTTGAATTGAAAAGGAATCTGCCTGCTGCAGTTCAGACAAGAAGCTCTGGAGCTGGGGGGAGATTAACTGAACCAGGCAGAAATCCTCATGCCTAGAAATGGACTGGACTTGAAGCTATGGATATGTAAATGTTAGGGAATGGTTAATTAGACATGATCAGGTTATTTTCTTTGTTTTGTAGTTTGGTTAAATTCCTTTGTGCTGAGTCCATGTGCCTCCCCCACCTCCAATACTGTAACTAAAGATGAATGTCAGGGAAGCAATTCTCTGTGCTTTAATCTGTTTCTCAGTTGCTCTATAACACCTAGCAACTAGGTATGCTTTACCGTGTATATTTTTTTGTTTTGTTAATAAAATCACCTTTTTTAAGGCTATGATCTGATTCTTGTGTCCTGGAAAGTAATAGGAGTGAGTGTGTGCGTGCCTAAGACTGGTCTTTTTTTTTTTGAGCTCTCTTGTAAAAGAGCTTCTACCGTGGGGGGGGGGGGGGTTGAAGAAGGTATGCAAATTGCTCTCGCATTTGTATATCTTCTTCCGATTCTTTTTCTGTTTTACGAGGAATAAGGGGGCTTCCGAAATAGGTTTTTTCCCAACATTTGGCCCCGTGTAGACAGGCCAAAATTGGAGAAACCTCTTCCAGAAAAAGATTCGGAAGAAGATTTGGAAATGCGATTGCAATTTGCATACCTTCTTCAGAATCCTCCCCCCCCCTTCCCCCAGTGTAGCCATACCCTGGCAGAAGTCCCCAAGTGAATCTTCCTGGGTTCAAAAAGGTTTTTTTTCACTTGGGTGGTGGCAGGACATCACCCAAGGTCAGGGAATCTGGACCTTGGGGAGCTTTAAGCAGAGGCCTATAGAGGCCTATTTTAAAGTCTTTTGTGAGCCCCCACCTATTGCACTCAAAGTGCCAGAGTGGGGAACAGCCTTGGCAGTGTGACAGAAAGCTCATACTGTGTATCAAACAATGAGCAGTCTTACACCAGACTCAGACAAATTGACTCAATGTATTGGAAGCCAAAATACAGGCTGTGCAATTTGCCTAGGAAATGGGCTCCCTTACAAAGCAGCTTCACAAATGAAGGAGATGTCATGATGGTGTAAAGGCCTGCTACACTCTACGGCTGTGTCTAGACTGGCAAGTTTTTCTGGAAAATCACCTGCTTTTCCGGAAAAACTTGCCAGCTGTCTACACTGGCCACTTGAATTTCTGGAAAAGCACGGACGATCTCATGTAAAATCATCAGTGCTTTTCCGGAAAAACTATGCTGCTCCCGTTCGGGCAAAAGTCTTTTTCTGAAAGACTTTTGCGCAAAAGGGCCAGTGTAGACAGCGTAGTACTTTTTTGCAGAAAACTGCGTCTAGATTGGCCACGGACGCTTTTCCGCAAAAAGTGCTTTTGCGGAAAAGCATTCTGCCAATCTAGACGCGTTTTTCCGAAAATGCTTTTAACGGAAAACTTTTTCGTTAAAAGCATTTTCAGAAATTCATGCCAGTGTAGACGTAGCCTACAAGTTTCTGAACAAGAAAAGGGTTGATAAAGTGTAGAATAAAGCAGCAGAGATAAAAGGTGAGGGGGGTGGGGTAGGAGAGGAAATGGGGACATCACTGTCATGCCATGAAAAAAGTAAGATTGTTACCACAGTGAGCCAGATAACAACCATACCTATTAATAGGGCCTTGACATGCATTAATAGAAAACCACCATTTGTCCCTTTAAGAGAATTTGAGTGTAATCACTGAATTTGAGTGCTTTTCTATGTGCTGATGTCCCCACAGCTTAGGTCAATATTAAAAAATTGTAATATAAATAATATGACACCACTCACATCCAACTATAGGAAGAGGGGCATTTGGAAATGTCCCATACTAGTCTGATGTCTGGATGTAAAGTACATGATAAATTTACTTGACTAAATTGTTAGTTCTTCTCACAGCCCATCTGCAGAAACTTCTACAATAAAAATTACAGAATTTAAAATTCATGCAGAACAGACTTGAAATGGTAAGAGAAAATACAGTAAATGTATTAAATAAAAAGCAATTAAAATATACTGTTAAAATGGATCATATTTATTGGTAATGACAGAGGAATGGCCCAGGGGAATGTAATCAGAGTAAAATTTAATTAAGCTTCCTCTAAAATATATTTCAGGATTAATGCAAACTCAGGTGGGCAGGTGTCATGCTAAGAAATATTCACTGAGTCTTTGAAGACATTTTGAATCCTCACACCACTGCCATGGCTTTATACGAGTACAGTGCA